AAAATGTATCACAACGTTCCAGTTGCGCAATACATGAAATTGCCAGATTTAAATAGCAAAAAAGAATAGACGGAAAGTTGATAAAAAGTAGCAAAAGGCGATAAAAATCTCACATCTTTTTCTACGCTATTTTCATGTTTCGAGAATTCGGAAATTTCATGCCGGAATAATCCATTTACATTAAGAAAATAGACGTAACATATGTAGCAAAAAGAAGAGATGAAGAAAATCGTGGTTCCGGTATTTTGAACAGGATATTTTCATCATAATCTTTTTCATGTTTTACAATTATTTTTTCTCCAAATAAAAAGCATACAGATGCAATCATATCAAACGAATTGTAAAACAAGACCAGTACAAATAACAATTTCAATAGTTTAAAATGCTGGAAATAAAACGAAAAAACAAATAAAGCGATTCACTGTCTTATTTTCACTCCACCATCTTTTCCAACGGTGGTTCCTTTAGCCGTTTCAAGGAGAAACAACAAACCCTAAGGTACACGCATAACTGCCGAATGACCATTACGCAGTATACTGATAAACTTGCATATGCGTATACCTGAAAATTAAGGATTATGCTCAATTATAAAAAGGCACTGGTATATCCTATGTAAATATATTCTTCAAGGCTGCCAAAACTATGTCAGACTTACTGACAAGGTGATGCTTACTCTAGAGAGTCATTTGATTGTATTTGTCAAGTGTAACTGAAAATACGCGCTTAACAGATCAATCTATTCCATCATTGCTTAGACTGCCAACAGTTCACATAAATAAAAGAAAAACTTCAGAAAAAGTGAACCATCATAAACCTGCCAAAATTCTACTTTCTACTTTGTTTTATTTAATGTATAATATGAAATATTATACATTATACTCTAATTTTGAAGGGTCGGTTAAAATGACTATCGAGACGAACTGTAACTGTTAATTCATTGTTGAAATAAAAAATAAGGATGGGAGAAATAAAATAAAGGAAAAACTTGCTGTGGCACAAACAAGAAGATAAAACTCGTTCAACGGCATATCGTAATACTGATTAAGCATCATCATCAAAGGTGAAAGATAGATCCAATCCCACATTGCTAATTCGCTGCGACTCATGTGGGCCAATATTAATCTGAAGCCTTTCATTTTTCATTTACTAACATATATTTAGCACGTTATATTGGAAAGGAACAGCAGCAAAAGGGAAAATTATGAATTATTTTCTTGCAACTTTAATAGTCGTTCCTGCATCGTTTCAAAAATATAACACATCTGAGGTAAAGGCAAAGTAGAAACGAGCATAGTTTTTAAAGTTCCGCTCTTTAGGGTACTCTTTCGATAAGCCATAAATTTGTCAAATTTTAATTCAAACTACACATAGGTTGACTTGCGAAAACACATGTATAGTGAAAATGAAAATCTAATAATAAAGCAAGCCCACCTCAAAGTAGCTTTCGTCGATACTGCACCAAGACATAAAGCAAATAAAGTGATGTGATCATCGTAAACTGCTGTCACCGATTTGCTGTATATCATGCAAAATGGTGTTATCATCATTAGCAGTGGTATCAGTGGTGATAAAACAGACGTATCCTAAAGTGTATATTGGATATCAAAAAAAAAAAATGATGGAATCTATAACTGTAAAAGACTTCAAATTGAGTCCTTAATTTGAACTTACCGCAACTGTTGATCCATTCTTCCCTATACCTCCAGTAACGACATCTACGAGATAATCACTAATCTGCGATATGCACATTAAGGAAGAGATGAAGATGGCCACATACTTTAAATTGATATGTAGGAACTGAAAGAAATTAAAAGCAAAGAATTGAAAGTGACTTTTGCGTCCCAAAATACCCATATATATTGCCATCAGAAATAGGAAATAAAGCATTAAAATGACCTGTTTTGTCCAAAAACCTGTACCAAATATAGATGTTACCAACAAAACAACTAAAATAGTCATCTGCGCCTCAGTAACATCAAATCTGTAAATTTAGAACATTATTTGTAGTGATTTTTGAATCTACAAGGAAGGAAATTGAAATTGAAATTCTATTTATCTTGAAACAGACGTAACATCCTGATACAAACCTAATAATAAACCGCGTAAAAAATTAACAAAAGCACTTGCTTTGCAAATTTTAGACGTCCTGTACAATATGTACTCCAATGTGCGCAATAAAAAAGTACAATAGATGAAACAGTCACAAAGAGTACCACGTAGCGTTCCTGACCCAATAACATCGCATAACAAATATTCAGCGTGACAAGTACTGAATTGTTCATATAGATGCAAAAAGAAAATTGTTAAATGAGCTGAAGAAATGAGAGCAGCATCAAAGCCATTGCATTTACAACCGTATAATGGTGGCAAATTAGGAAGCAGTTAAACTATGTGTTTTCTTGTATAACAAATAGCGATTTGTAAATAGTACATCTAAATAACAAACCTTGAGACATGGCGTCACAACCGTGATCAAATAGTTCACCTAGAGGTGAACTAGAGTTTGTACGACGAGCCTGCTTTCCATCAGTAGCATCCAATGTTTGGTATAAAAACATGCCAAGTGCTGCTTGGAAATACGCCCAAGATGATGCCTACAGTAACAGCGGTAACTGCTCTATTCCCTACGACTGTACCGGAACAGATTTAACAATACAAATGATGGATGGCTTATAATACACATGGAAGTGAAACTTACAGCAATTTTGGCATCATATGAGAAAAAAGCCAATATGAGTACAGTTACAAGGTTTATAAAAAAACCCGACATAGTGATTACATTTGGAGCAACCCACATAGGATAAAATTGGACCACATACTCCCAAAACCTGAAATGCACTCAGAAACAATAATGATGTTTTTTAGGTTATTTTTAGTTCACCTACTAATATACATTCGTAAGAAAATTCATTAGAAAATCAGCCACTACTTTATGCTTTTAACTGTTACTGTTAGCTCACTAAGGTGATGCAGATGAAATCCTCAAAAATACAATCTTCGAGATGAAAATTTACAGTAGCTTAATTTTTTTATAAACCTAAAAATGAATTTAAAATGAGCAGGGAAGTCGTTTTAAAAAGTACCGTTTCATGCAGTACTCATCAAGCCACGATGTATCAACTGAAGAATATTTGTGTTCTCGTAAACGGTCCATTTGAGCAACTCGAAGCTGACAATCACCTTCCAAATAATCTTCCCATGCATTACGTACTGACCACTTTACGTACTCCATAGTTCTCTAAATTTCCTGTACAATTATTTAAGCCATAAAAACTTCAGCAAAATTTAAATACTTCAATAGTTCGTATCAGAAAAAGAAATCGCTGCGATACGAACCAAAGAAGTACTCTTCATCAAATGGATATGTTCAGTACACTCTAACGGATATGAGGTATATTTGAATGTGAAAGATCAATTAATTAGGAAACCGGGAATTGAATATTTGGCAGCTAAAGTTTCAATCGAAAATCTTCAGAGAAAATCTTTCTATGTGATATATTATGAAGCATTGAAGAGCAAATGAAGTCTGTGCTTGTTGTACTGGAGAAAAGAAGGGACAGGAGAGTGAGATGTTATACAAATGAAGTGTTGGTTACGATTTGCAACAGCTTTGGCGAACAATATGACTAACAATAAGTCTTATGACGGCATAACTATTAAGCAACTTTTATTGGAACAGATACCGAACATCAACTGGATAAAAAGCAATAAAGAAAAGCCATAAGTATGATTCTCAAACATGAAAAGATATAGAGAATGCATATGAAATCAAAACTGAAGGTCGAAAATCGGACAGAGAATCAGTGGTCAAATACAAAACTTTTAAGCGAAAAGGTACAGTCAATCCCATGTGCCTTTCTTTCATTTCACCCAGAAAAAAGCAAGTCAACAATGTGAGGCCTAACCCTAGCAGACTGTCCTCCTGACCCTCTGTTTTTTAAATCCAACTTATATTCACACAGTGGTATTGTATAGTTTCATATAGAAAACTTCCGCCAATACCTACGGAGTTACACTACTCTCACTTACTTAACAACATGGGACTTTGCCTTGCACTTACTTTCTGTAGCACTACCATAATTCATTTCCTCAACACACATTAAAGTGTTGGTGAATAGGTTTTAGATTCGAAGCTCAGAGGAAACGGCAAAATGTAAAGTTTTTTGAGACAAATAACCTTCACATGTTCCTTTAAGAAGAAATGATCAACGCCCCGTTTGCTGGTTGCGCAATAAATTGTAAATATTTGCTTATTTCACTGTGAATGCTTTTTATAATTTAGGAGAATTTATATTACAAATAAAGAAAAGCCAAATTCGAAGTGGGGAAAAATAGCAGTAAGATAATGTTTGAGAAATTTATTGAACAGACAAAAAAATCCATGTAGACAATCGTAAGCAGCTTAAATAAAGATGTTTTATGTGTTTAAAGAGGTACGAATTCTTGAAAAAGAAATTGTTCTTTCAAGTTTTGTCCTACAGATCGTAAAGAACAATTATATACATTAGCCGTGATGCTTTCTGGGAAATTGACGGCAGTATAAATGCTTAAACATTCTATGCGTTGTTTTCTGTTTGACAGCACTATTGCCTTGATCAGTTATTATCGACCAACTTAACTTCTCAAATCGAGCACAAATTTGATAACTGCAAGTTAATTTTCGATTTCTGTGCTAACCATTTGGTCTGCATAGCCTAAGCAACATCCGGTAGTTGTACCCCTTCCTGTAAAGTAACTTTGTCTATATGCCCGACATGACATTGAAAAAAGGATGTAACTTTTTTTTCCAGGCTGTAACTTTCTCATGAATAAAAATTATGAAAAGTTGGGATGAAGAAATACAAAAAATTGCTATGGTAAGCATTTATTAAAAATATATTCTAAGACTTCATAATCAAGCTCGGATTTGCCTGCTCAGTTTTTTTCCATTCTCACAAAATAAAATTTACATGCCTAATTTTAGCTTTATTTTCAATTTGAGATGGTTAGCCACCATATTTTCAACCGAGTCCACATATGTTATCCTGTACTATTTTGTAAAAAGATTTTTTTTCTGTGCCTGGAACATTAGCAAGCAAAAGGAAAGCAGAACCGGAACTTAAAGTAATGATATGGATAGGTTTTTCATGACTGACTAATATCGCATAGTCATCTGTTATACTTTCTGAACAAATAAATGAATAGATACATACAGCACACAAGAAAACATTTCTGTCACCTCGAGATTAGAAACGTTTTAAGCTGTGCTTCAAGAACAGAAAAGACAACATGAAATCCTCTTATATTTGACTGTTAGATAAGCAGTACTAAACCGTTAAAAATACGTTGATGGTCGTCTCATTAAATTTGTACCTTCTATATGAATTCCTTTTCACAACCGCCCATTTTAAAACATCTCATTGTGAAGTGGAAAACGAACATCTACTAAAAACACATTTTTGTCGTAAGAAAGGCAAGGAAATACTATGCATGGGTTTACTATGTTGGCCCTGAATGAAACGGTCGTTTAGTCTTGAAATCAGAACGATTTGAAAAGATACGACAAAAATATGTTCATAACTCTACAAAATCGGAGAAAGAATGCTCCTTTAATGGTGAAATGTCACTGTTAACGATAGAGAATACTACATCAGTAACACTGACATTATATCAATGTTATTTGAGCATTCTTTTGCTCATTAAAAACAATATTATTTCGCAGGTTTACTATGGAAGAATAAAATTTATTCATTTATGATCGATTCCATTCTTTTTCATCATTCGTCCAACTATGAATTATTTTCAGAAAATGATGTATTATGATGGTCATCACAAGAGTTTAAATTACGAACAAATTCTAGTCCAAATCTTTTGGAAAAAAAGCGTAATACTCTTTACTCATTCATATATCATCAAACCCCATTATTTTGTTAATGCTGCGATAGACAAAAAAATAAAATAAAATATAGGAAACAACAGGAAGTAACATGCAAAAAAAAGATAATGCTGAATTATACACAAGCAAGATACCTTAAAGCGTGCACGACAGGAGTATTTGCTCATGAAACTTCGGGAATTTCTTACACCATAGCGACGTACAAACTCACGTGATAAATGTCGTGATGTTGGTCGTACCCAGCCATAGCTCCGCTCTTCACCATTCATCACACCCTTAAAAGTTGAACCACCCTTAACTTCATATAAACAGCTACGTTCATCAAACATACAAATTAAATCACTAACTTACGTACTATTCTGAAAACGAACGAAATCTTAAAGAACTTTCAATAAAATTTCAGAAAATACATGTGCGACACTAAACAGTAATAATCAAAACAGCATTTTTAAGTGAGCTTAGACAAAAAGGAAAAAAGCAAGTCAATAAATATTGAACAATCAGTTATAAAGTGTAATCAAATTATTAATTACTGCGTTTCCAAACTTTTAATCGTATTTTTTGATGCATACAAAAGCTCTTTATACTTTCACTACAAACTGCATGCATAAAAATCAACATTGATCACTCTGATATGGAAAAGAGAAAAGTGTAACAACAAAACAAAAAGTCACTTCTGAAAGAATAAACAAGTGCAAAGACAAACACACACACACAAAGGTCGGTCACCGGTATGCTTCAAGGTGCAATTGATTCTCACAAGACTAAGTGTTATGGAAATACCTATCTATATCACTCCATGTTTCAAATTCCATGTATAAAGATTAGAAAGAATTTGAAGGTAGAAATTTGTGATTTAAGAAGCCCCCGAAATAGTTTTTCAATCAGATGACCAGCTAACAGTTTTTCAGTACAATGAAGTTTGGGATGCTCCGATATTCTCCAAACACATACGGTACGTAAAGGATCTTTAGTAGTTATCACAGCAAAGATATATAATGTCTTTTAGGGAATATAAGATATATAATCCAATGAATGACTTGGTGAAACAAGATAAACTTACCTGTGTATGACCAACGGAGGTCCAGAGGGAAGGCACTCGACGTGACCTTCCAGTGACATCCATAACTAACCTGCAAAGTCATTGCAGTTAGTTTTTTCTTCACTTAATTCTAGCTAACAGTGTGCACGCAAAACAATCTTGGATTATCTGGAAAATGTCTTTCAGAAGGAAGCATGTGCTGATATTTCTCTCTAAAAGATATTTTCTCTAACCCAAACAATTTCCAAAGAATTTTACGGATGACCACAAACTGCAACTCAAATGATCAAAGATCAACACCTCAAAGATTTGCTCAGAGTAACTATAAGAGAAGGGGAAGAAGGAAGAATTTTCCATTATTCGGTGTCTCCGAAGTATGCATGATCTCATTACCAGTAAAATCAAATCTCTCTCAGCACCGTGTGCTGCTACCAACGTTTCTCTCCACCATATTATTCGGAAAAAAAATGATCGGATCCGGCAACATCCTCTGGCCGCTTATTTCGCAAGCAAACATCGACATTCACAGTTTGCATAATTCCGCAAATAAATGCAGACAACTATAAGACAACCCCAAAATTATAAATTAACACAGATAAGCCTTGGATTTTCCACTTCAAAATCATTAACTGCAACTGGAGCATTGATTAATTCGTCCATTACCATTCACTTTCCTTACATACATCTCTCTCTAACTATCTTTTTTACACACCATATTTTCCGGCTATTACTAAATGCGTGGAAACCGATAAATCCCAGCTGCATCCCCACGCACGACCAAGCAAGTGACCATGGAACAACCATATCCATTAGAAAAAAACCCTAATCTCAACTGGAAAAAGCATTTCACAAGCCTCAAATGGTCAGTTATTTTATGACGCAACGAAAACTGCTCGTCCCGAACTACAAGATGTGAAATGTGGGTACCACTCGAATCAATGCAGTAGGTATATTTATTGGTGCAGTGAATTCTGGAAGCTCCGAATGGAAGTGTTATGCATCTTATTAAATGTTCTTATTATATCTTATTAGATATAGGATAACCTGAAGGGTTAGTTAGATTAAGAAGCATTTTTCTTATTAACTGATATATATATATAATGTCATGAATGCTGGAACTGGATATCATCGAATCTAGTCCAAAATTGGATCGATTGATAAGCTTAGTTTATATCATCGAACATTTTTGAAAACAAAACTAACGATGTGATATTTTATTGAGAGTGGATGAACAAATTTGATAGGATCGAAATGAAAGTTCTAATTTGAATCCGTAACATGTAAAAAACCAAATAGTATATGGATAAGAGGAAATTGGTGGCGGGAAAAAACGCACAATTCTTTTAAAAATTAGTTTGAAAATTAACAAATACAATTCTATGCAATACTCAACATATGAAATGTTGAAAATTCAAAACATTTTTATCTCATATTAAACATATAAATTCATGAAGCTGACCTGTTTGTGTTCGGGATGAGTGTAATCAATCGATCACGAAAGAGAAAGGAAACAATATGCTCTTGCCACACAAAATAACTATCTTATCAAACCAGTTTCATCACATTACCAGCCGTTGTCGTTGCCTAACTGCTAACAATCAATAATATCTCTAACAATTTTAAATGACATACAATTTATTCATTTAATTTTGAAAATTTTTCTGGAAAACTATTTCAAAAAGGTGTTCATTTAGTGAACTGTTTAATTGTAAATGAATTACCTCGTTTATTTTTGATTCAGGAAAAATAGGTATCATTTAGAACAAGAAAAAAGAAAAGTGTAGAAATTAACGACGATAGCATTATTCATAGCAATTTTTGCAATACTATTTAATAATAAAACACAAACATTCTGAAATTAATAATTTTCAAAATCCAACAATTTGTCGTTATTCATTTTTTGCAATTTGAAATTTCAATGATATATTAATTTTGAAATTAAAAGAAAAGAAGACGATCGTTTCATTTTAAATATTATTATGCCTTTTTTTTTTAAGAAAAGAAATCTATCATAGTCATTTTCTTTTTTGCCACACGGAAAAATAATCCATTTTCAAATTCAGGTACGATGACATTTTTACTCGAATATAAATAATATATCATTATCACCTTTAAACATTTAAGTAGAATAGATAATATATGGCAGGTAAGTTAATATGTACACAATAATTTTGAATGAAAAAAAGCAGAAATGAAAAGATTTTACTTTTCTTTGTACATAGTTAAAAAATAGGTGGTGAAGCATATGTTTGTTGTTTTTTTTAAAAGGGAAAACGGAGACACGTTTCTTACAAATATCAGTTGAAAAATGATTTTCATGATTTAATCATACAGAAAAGTATTTATAACGAGAAAATGAACCAATCGTTGTTGTTAAATTTTTTCTCAGGGGTAAAAAAATTTTTTCCACATCATCTATTTTATTTGAGCAGCCGTTTTTTCCGATAATCGATAGCATTTTCATCAACATTGAATGTCATTTGCCGGAGATCTTCACTAGCAGATATACTTCCCTCAGATATCTGCAAATATATTTTTGTAAATAAAATTTTTCGTTTCTTTTCCTTTTTTTTTTAAAGTAATATATAATGAATATTAAATGATTGAAATGATTAATTTTAAAAGATAATACAAAATGTATTGTTAATACTTTGAATAGAAAGTTTGATTTAAAAAAAATTTACATTTACCTCATTACATTGGAAAATAAAATGAATGATACTTTTTTTTTTTTAAATTCATTTGAATATGAAAATTGGTTGTAAATTTTGCTAGACATTAAATTTCAAAAATTTATCTTATTATATAGAAATGAGAAAATGAAAAATTACTCCTGAGGATGAGTCGCCTGGTGTTAGTGCTACATCTGCTGAATGAGTTGTAAAATCAGCTTCATCAGCTCCACGAACATCATTGATCAAAGCTTGAACAAGACCCTCATGAGACAACGTTTCAATTGCTGCCATATCCATTTTCACCTAAAATTGGCAAACAAAAAAAATTAGGATTTAGAAAATTTTGAAATTTATATTATTATACTATCAAACTCAACTAGTCTATTTTTCAATTTCAACACAATTCATTTAAATTAGAAAAATAAAAATTAATACTAATAATGATTAGAAAAGAAAAAGGAAACAAAATTTTACCTTGAAAGGGCAAGCTTGTTCATTAATAACATTGGGATAATGTTTTTTAAAATATGGATGCTGAATGGCTTCATTAACATCAATTCGCTCTTCCGGATCCATTTTGGCCATTTTAGCAATTAAATCCAATGTTTGAAAAGAATCGGCTCTATCGCGAATAATTTCGTTCCAAGGTCGTACAGGATGATCACCGAAATTTTCAATTAAACGTCGTGTTCGATCGCATTGAATCTGATTCAGAATCTGAAGCGAGAAAAAAAAAACGAAAATCATGTTATATAATCCGAAAACTTAGATATTTCAGGATTAGTTTATTTAATTTAAATAATGCGCCCATCGGATAATATAAATTGTTGTTTTGGTGATATTATGCCTTTTTTTGACTATGAGAAGGTGCAAATTTTAGGATTAATTTTGAAAAAATTAGATGAATTTCCTGTTTCAAACGATCTTTCAAAACGATAATTATCAACCATAATTTTTCTGACATTTTAATTTTTTTCCGGCATTTCTAATCGGTAGAAAATTAAAATAAAACTTGTAAGTATCCGTCATTTGTATCACATTTAACAGTTTCCTCGCATTTTTATCAAAACTTCTCCTTATTCATATTAAATTAAAAAACAAAATTTTTTCAATTTGATATGATAATCAAATTATCAATAATAAAAATGATTTTAAAAGATGAAAATAAAAACCTTGCCCGAAGGCGCACCAAGCATGGTAACAATAATTTTTATTTGTCCACTTACACTTCGACCAGGAAACAATTCCCGGCGTATGATCATTTCAGCAAAAATGCAACCAACTGCCCATAAATCTACGGCTGTTGAATGTTCTGGCATCACGAAAAGAAGCTCGGGAGCTCTGGGAAAATTTTAATCCTCGATAAGTCATCTAATTTTTTTTCTTTGTCTTGGAATTATCAAAACTTTCAATCTCAAAATTTCAATTGAGTCATCGATAAGATGATGTATTATTTCACTTCTATAAAATTCGAAATCATGTCTCTCTCATCAAAGTGATAAGAAAATCAAAATCTGGGTCAAAAAAAAAAATTCGCGAATTTCGTAATTCCATTTAAATTCCATCATTTACATTTCATAAAATTAATCGTTGTTTAATCAGATGAAATGTTAATTACCTATATGGAAGGGTGGTTATATGTTGTGTCATGTAGAATGAATGTTCTTCCACTTCTTCAATCTGATTTTTCATTGCTAATTTAGCCATACCAAAATCAGCGATACGCAAATGACAATTGCCATTTACAAGTAAATTTGATGGTTTTAAGTCTCGATGAGCAATACCGGCGGCATGTATGTACTGGAATTAATAAAAGTTATAAGCATATAGATAAATTTTAATAGATAAATTTCAGAATTGAAAAAATTTAATGAATAAAATGATTACCCTAAGTCCTCGTAATATTTGATATAGAAAATGAGAAATTAAATCATCTTCCATTGGGCCACCACAATAAATAAGATGATGAAGATTGCCCTCCATAAGGTCCATCACAAGGTAAACATTTATTCCTTAAAAAAAAAGGCATATAGAAGCATAATAAACTTATTCAGTTCTATAAAAATTTATTTCATTCAAAATCATTTCCAAAAATATGATATGTTTGGAAACTTGCCTAAATTCCCGGGTGTCCGAAAGATATCTTTGAGGCTAACAATGTTTTCATGAGCAATATAACGTAGCACTCGAATTTCACGCAATGTTCGCCTGGCAGAAGTTGGTGTTGCTGATGCATGGCCTATTTTTTTGATTGCAACCTAAATATATCATCATCGAGAATGGAAAAATAATGAAAGGAAGAGTTTCGCCGAATGCAATAAATCGAAAATCTTGTTTAAAATTAAAAAGATTTAAAAAGTATGAAAAAAAGTTTTCAAAAATTAACTAACTTTTGTTCCTGAATTTGTT